TTTTTTTCTCCTCCCAGCCATACTTGGGGCAATCCCTGAGGTTTGCCTGATGAATTGCTAGTTTCATAGCATAATTTTTCAATCATGTTTTCTCTTAAAACATTTCCTTCTGCTCAGAATTTTAGTTACAAGCTTTGTGCATGTGAAACTGCGTGCAGTGGTTCACAGACATACAGTTTGCAATTGTGCTTTCATGGGAGGATTAGCAGTCCTGCGAAGAGGCCATTTGCTGGGGATAAACTTGATCCAACAGTCATCTTACTCTCTGATTGCAGGTCGTCATTGCTGCAGTCTCTGCGCAGTCAGCACTTGGCTATGGAAGTGTTAATGCGTACATAGAAGGGAATGGCAGGTGCCCAAGGAACACAGGTTAAGACTCATCAGTGGTTTCAGCACCTTTAGTGCCTCCAGTTTGTTACAGAAAAGCACATTATTTTGGCCAGCTGAATGGAGGAAGCATGAGTGAAACTCTAACACCCAAAACTGTTATTCCAGTGGGTGCTAAGGCAGCCGTACAAGTCAGTGCAAAGCAGGGCCACAGCTGGAAGCATTTACTTTTTTGCCCTGTTGATATGGAGCCAGTTTTAAATTACTGTAAAAAAATGGCTGTGATCAATAGCAGTGGTACTTAGCTGAGATATTGTGGAAACACACCTTCACAGCTGTGGCGTTTTGGTTTTGTGTGTGTGTTTGTGTGTGTTTGTGTGTATATGTGTGTAGCTGCTGGAAGACACCTTAAGTGAAGCTTTGGTTCTGCTTTCACAGCAAATTTACTTTAAAAAAAACCCAACAATGGCTGTTTATTCAATTTTGTTGTCTAGTTAGGTAAGTTTGAAAAAAGATGTCATTGTATAAAGAGTGCAGAATATTCCAGGCCTGAATAGTAATATTGATCCAAATCTGCTTATTTTTAATAAGTTGGGGGTTTTTTAAATGTTTGCATACACTAGTGCTCTTGGAACAGATTCTTGCTTGACCGAAGTACTCCTATTTAGTTTTGTGGCATGGTTTATATCTATTCCGCATAAAATTTTGTTAGGTGTAAAAATGACATGGCATTGATAACTGTTCTCATTCACTGGGGTTCATGAGAGCTGCCATTTTGATTTGCTGACATGAAAATAGTCTTAATTCTTACAGGTCACTTCACCTGTTCCTCTAGTACCTAGGGAAGTCACTTCTAAACAGAGTTAAAACTTTCACTGGTTACATAGAAGTGGAACTATCAGTAAACTAGAGAAAAAAAAGTGACACACCTTAATCTATTAAAATAAGCAGAACAATGACACTTTTATCTGGAAGCTCCACCATTCTACAAAATAGCCTTTGTTTGCCATTATTAGTGACTAAGGTGTCCCATTTATGTATTGCAGCCTTTAGGCCAGGGCACTACTGATGTGTGTATTTAAGCACGTCCCCAGTACTTAAATCTATAGTATCATCATGTACTTCATGGAATAAGGGAAGAACTTTTTCCTTTTCTCTATATTTTTTCCCATCTTAAATTTGCTAAAAACTTCATTTATAAGCATTTTTAATAATACCTGAAATCAATAGGTATTTTCAGTTTTTAAAATTTTTAAGTGCAACTATTGTTACTGAACAAATAGGATTTTCCCCACATTTCTCCCCCTTCTTGCATCTAAGCCACAGCAAGGTGAGTACATCATAAAAGTACTAGACAATTGGAGTACGGGCACCTTTTTAATAAGCTCATTGGCTTAATAGAGAAGAGATTATAGACTGCAATTTCATTGTTTTTCTGATTAGAGCTTGAAATGTGGGATGTGAATTCAAGATTTCTGCATTGAATTGTTCATTTCAGGCATGCAGGGGAGAGAGTGGTGCTTCCCATCCTCCTCTGGAGCTGGTACAGGATAGAATTCCCATAAACACAAAACTTTACAACTCGGCTTCTCTAAGAGCAATGATTCCTCATGGTCAGTGTTCATACCTTCAGCAGAAATTGCAGGATTAACAAGGTAATTTGACTTCCATGAGGTTTAATCACTGAAGTGTAAATACAGGTTCCTACATATGATCCTAAATTCAGTCCCCCATAAAAAATTGAGGTAATAACACATTTTTCTGGATGAAAAGAGCTCTTTTTTTCAGAAATAAGAAATGGCCTGGAGCAGCTAGAATCCTGTGCCATGGACTCTGGAATTGAAGTCAGGTGTGGGATTACTGTGTACCCTCCGTTTGTATTTATCTCAATAAGCTACTTTTGAAGCGGGGTGTAATCGTGGGGGACAGGGGAACATGTAACAGATTTGACAGTTCATTTCTCATGTGTAAGGATGCACAGAACTTACGGGGGGGAAAAGAGAGAGAGAGAGAGGCAGGTTTACGGTGACATGCTGGAGATGGTATACCAGAGGTTACAACACTGAAACATAATTTACAGATTGCAAGCTTTAAAGATAAGGTTATTCTGGGAGGACTGGTATAGGGCCCAGAATGGCAGTCCTCTCGCAGAACCCTCAGCCTTCTGCAAAACTTATTTTTCTATTTGTGGGGGAGGGAAGGGGGCAATCCACTTACAACTGGAAACATCCTAGATGATCTTTAAGGTCCCTTCTAGCCCAAACCATTATATGATTCTATAAACTTGAAATTGTACATGTTCTTTCAGTCTATAGTTTTACTAAGTGCATACTTTTAAATATTGTCAGTGAGAAGGTTCTATCTGGTGACAAATGTTTATATTTCTTATGGCTGCCTTGTAAACATTCAAAAATATACAATAATGAATTTCTTAATATGAAATAAGGAGTAAGATTTCTACAACTGGTATAGATTTTGATGTGAGCTGGTTTTTAAAATCTTATAACAGATTAGTCACTTAAATAAAACCTTCCTTGCTTTAAGCAAACAGTGTCACTGATTTTTCTTACCAGTGTTGTGGGAAGTGCTAGGTCATCACTGTACCTGTCCTAGTAGCCAGGGGAAACAGCATCAGTAGAGGCTAATACATCTGTCTGTCTGAAATAATACTTGGATTGGAGGTTGACTTTTCACAAAATTCCAACCCTCCTTCCTTTTGAAAAGTCGTAAGAAAATATTTCAGTAATGAGACACCATCTTTGTGAAAGGTTTATAGAAGCAGTTTCAGTACATGCAAAGAATAACTGCAAGCTGCTGTTCCACGTAGAATGGTGGTTAGAAAAAAAACAACCAAACAAAAACAACATCAAAAAACAACACAAACTAAAGCTCTGGTCATCTGAAAGCCTGGAAGTCAGGATTCTTTTCATGTTTCCAGGCCTCATTAAATGTTTCAGTATTTTAAAGCAGACTAGTTTGACAAGAAAAAAGAAAAATCAGGAGTAAGTTTAAAATCAATACTTACACATAAATCAGAATTGAACATGACTGCTTCCCGTATTTATACTTAATACCTTTAACAGTTTTACTAAACGTTCCAGTTTTACTAAATCACATGTGCATCTTAAAAAAAATATCAAATAGAGCAAAGTTTCCCAAATCAATTTTTTGTTCGAAGGTTCATCTTAGAGTGAATGTAATCTGAGCAGTCTGCACAAAGCTGCAGGTGTGGAAAACAGCCCTGGTGTTGAATTCTAGAGGCCTGAGAAATCCTTGCTTTAGTTTGAGAGATTGAACTTTGTTAAACTGAATCACCTACCAAAAAAGGATTGTCAAAGGACTGTTACTTTTTAAAAGTAGTAATTAGAAACAAAATACAGGTGCCAAATGCTTAGTGTACTTTATCAAATAAAACACCTGCACTGTGATATTAGCTAATAACAGCAGTTGTAAGAGGTTATATTAATTGTATCAATCAATTTCTGTGTATAACTAAAAGACAAATGTAGTACAAAAGCAATGTTTAACTCCACTGCCAAGATGCTATTTAAAGCAGCAGCAAGAAATGACATCAAGTTGCTCTGATGTGTCTGGAACCCAACTACTTAAGATAGGATTGGGTAGGCTAATCTAATAGCAATCCTTAGGGCCATGAATTAGAGTCTTAATGTGGCTTCTCTCTTGTGTGAGTGACTCCAGAGAAACCCGTTGCCTTGGAGTGGCAGGTGTGGGCAGAACTCAAAAAAGCCACTACTGTTCTGTTAACCTCCAATTAAACACAATGCTTCACTTCTGGTTTGTACACAGAAAAAGTTGTTAGGCTTTCAGAATAATGGCCCAGTACTTTTAGTATTCAAAGTTCTCATACTAAGACTCAGGGCAATTGGATACCAGTCTAAATTCTACTATTACCTATGATCACCCTTTGTAAGTCTGTGGCCCTTGCTCTGGCCTAGTGGACAGTTCAGCATTAAGTTTCAAAGTACTCACTGCCTTATGAAAGTCACCTTCAAGGTGGCCCCTCATCTCAGCAGGATGTGGTACAATTTTGATTCTCTTATTCACTTGAAGAGAGAAAGCAAGGGAAGCGAAGTCCTGAGCTGCTTTGTCAAGAAAGATTATAAAATGTAATGGCTTGTTCAGGGTATAGAGTGCACCCTTTCACAGAGCTCCCCTTTATATATGCTCATAAACTAACAATAGTTGCAGCCATCTCTGCCTAGGTACCAAGTGCTCGATGGAGTTTCTTTGCTCGCCTTCTGATAGCTTGAGAAAGTTTCAGAGATCGACGCATGGACTGTAAGTTTTGTTCCATTAGATAATAGTAGTTTGATATTGCGTGTTGCCTGCAGAAGAACAAGACGACTGCCATTAGCAGCATGAAGTCAGTATGGTTAATTAACTGGTAGTCATGCAAACTGCTGGAAATCCGTTAGATGGGAGCAAGGAAGAGGTCTGGGATCTGTACACTTTCACTGTATAACAGTTCTAAACACTAGCAAGAAAATACTTTGTTACCTTCTGTGAGCATAAATGGCAGTACACAACTTAAGTACTGAAATAGTGTAACTAGCAACAGGAGCATTTCCTGTGATATAATCTTAATTCATTAAAATGAAAAATATTAGAAAATACCTGGAGCTGGCAACTATAAACAGTTTGAGATCAAGGTTTGCTTCATCTTGGAGAAGATGAAAAGGGAGCTGTAACACTAAAGCTCATAGCAATTGGATACCAGAACAGAAAGTCATATGCAAGACTGTAAGGACACCTCCAAAAAAGTTTATTTCACAATTATTCCAGTAGGCAACCTATAAACCAGCCAGTGACAGAGCACATTGTATGCATCTACACATGCAGGAGAGCTGGCCCAAAGTGCTTAGTGGAAGCAGTACACAGCACTGTTCAAAGCTTCAGTCAAGCATTTGAAGCTGCTCTCATTTTTCCTGAAATGTTACAATAATCAACTTCTTACACCTATCTTTGTTACTAAAATAGGACATAGTGTTCAGGATGTTAACTTTCCCTTTAACAAAACGAACACTTCCAGCATAATTGGTGAAGTTATTAATGTCACACATCTCTGTGATATCTCTGAAGAGATTAATGTACAGATCTCAGTGAAGGCAAGAAAGGCATTTACCTGGTAATGGTTCAGTGAACTGATACTAGAAGTGATGTTTAGAAACTTACAGCAAAGAATTCCTGTTCCCATCCATTTAGGTACAATTGCTGTGTTTAAAAATGCCAGCAATATGGGTATCGGCCGCTGTTACTGTGATAGCATCATCTTAACTGCTAAGACAATGCTAAGGATGGAAAAGAAAGGTTGTAAAATGAGACAGCTCAGGGTAATAGTTTGTTCTGTCATGCTGTGTGATCTTCATTAGTAATCGGTGAGAACTGAGGTCGAGTGACAAAGACATTAGTGCCAGTAGTTTTCTGGACTGGGGTGAGAAAAGCTGCTGTTTGCATAGAAGCCCAAACTTACCGTTCATTGCAAACCCACAAGGTTTCACTAATCCACAATGTAGAGATGAAGTTTTACAACTGCACAGCGATCCGCTGTAGCAGACAGCCACGGTGAATATGAGGGAAGAACCCTGTGGTTCCGCATAATAATACTTTTAAGAAGCATGAGTTAATGAGCCTTTCTCTCTCCAAACAGCAGGTTTTCTCCCCGCGGATGCATGCAGGCAGAGACAAGGTAAGTGAACAACTACTTTACCTGGTTGATACTATCTTCAGTTACGAATGAGAGAAACTGTCATATCACTAACAGATGGGAGAATATTAGGAGTGAGATTCAGTGAACTTTCAATGGGTATGATCATTATCTTACTACAGGATTTAACCTAGTTAGCTAGAAATGGTCCCAATGGTAAAAATTGAATTTTTGGAATTACGTAGGATTTTAAGCCCTTACCTCTTTGTAGATGGAAGTACTTAATGCTAAGACCTCTCTAGAGGATTTTAGGTGCTTGACATTTAGTTACTGAATGCTTGACATTGAGTGTTTTAAGAGAGGAAGAAGTTTAGGGAATTGCCCTTTGACAAGGCTTCTCACCTTTAGTTTTCACTGTCTTAATATGTCTAATTCAGAATTACATAACCTTTACAAACACTGCAGCCTACCACCTCGTGGATTAACCAAGAGGCTTCTGCATCCTCTAAATTTTTCAGTTACGGGTACCACAGACTATTTGTTAATATAATGCTACCTAGTAAAAGGATTTTCTTACAAATGTGCAGGCAACAGTGTCAGTGCAATGAGACTCCTCCCACCTGGATTGGCACCGCTTTTAGACAGAGGCAGGGAGGTACTGTTCTCACACAAGGTCAAAGATAGACTCTTGCTGGGAAAAATCTGACTTCCACAGCAAGAAACCTGACAACAAAGAGAGCATTTGACAGGTTTTGGAAGCTGCACAGGTATCTTGAAGAAAGAAAGGCTCTGCTACATTACAGCTGACAAAGTTCTGCAACTGTTCCTCATCCTGAGTTACAGGGATCACTTAGCCTGCAATTGGCAATGTCCAAGTGGAAGGTAACTTGTTGCTAAAAGCTGGGGGACAGTTAGTGATATTTACCTCTCCTCTTGCACAATGGCATCATCAAATGCCTGGGAGATGTGCTTCAGTTGGCAAATCCCTGAGGAGACCAGCTCCAACTCGCAGTCAAACTCTCTGCAAACAGAACGGTCATTACTAAAGATCAAACAGGACAGACCGACTAGGTGACACTACCCAACCCTCTATCCCTGCAGTAACAACTCCAGTTACCTCCAGACTTTACCCAGTGAAGTTCAGGGCTGTAGCAATCACGCTCTTAATTCCACTGACCAACTGCTTCACATCTCCATTCATCCCCAAGATAGCTATCTTCCAACTCAAACACTGGGTTCAGATTCACGAGGCTTGGATTCAACCTCTAGCTTTGACATTTCTCATGTGACTTTGACCAAAACAAAAACCTAAGTGTGCATTACGAAGTATTTTCCTAGCTCACAATCTAATTTGTGTTAAATCTTTGAGGCAAGAATCTCTCTACTCTCTATAAAGAGCTCAGCATAAGCAGAGCTATTCCAGGTATCTTTGCAATACAAATAGCCACTCTGGAAAAGTTAGAGCTAAGTAGGAGTGAGATGCATTGAGAGCATTTTTCTTTACCAGAAAGGTATCAAAGAACTCAGGTATGTCTCTACTGTCACATGGGGACTGGTGCTGAGAAACATGCTGCAAACTTAGCCAGTGGGAAAGTGATTTTTAAAAAGTTCTTGTTACATGACAAAATTAAGTTTCATGTTTCAGCTTTATGCAGTGCTCAGTCCCTGTCTATACAGGGACCTGTAACTACTCTTAATAATTTGAACAGCACACCCTTTCAGGGGAATAGGATAGCAACCTTCATATCTTGCCTTTCACCTTACAAGATACTCTGATCACAGTAATAAAAAAAAAAAAAATAAGGTTTACAAAAGTGTGGCTTACATCTTTCTGCTGGCAGGAGCAGGTGATGAATAAGGGCTCTTCAGTGCTGCTGCTCTTCTTGATCTCCTGAGAGAAACAGCATCTTTACCAAGCCAGGATGAAAAACCCCTCGATTCTCTATGTTCTGACACCCTTGTTGGCCCAGGCAAGGCACTTTTGCTGGATCTTGAGGTGCTTTTGGAACTGGCTGCTGGAGTAACACTCTTCTTACGGCCAGGGGTTCGAGGTGTAGTACTTCTTTGCTTGGTAGAACTGGTTGCACAGCTTCTGCTGATGGATTTGGCTGGAAAGGTCACCATCGAGCGTACTGGGCTTTGGCAAGACTTCTGTATTTTCTGAAAGAAGCATTAGACAGACATGTTATGCTAAATGAGCTCAATTAGCCTAGAGTTTGGGACCAGAAAGACAAGGAACATTTGAGTTGAATCCCTAGCTTTCACTCTCATATCGGGTATAGTCTAGCACGAATGCTTCTCAACCCCCTGTACCATTTGCATTGGAGGAATCATTTGCTCCCAGTCCTTGGAACTTGTCAAGGACCTCAGCAGGCATTGAAACAGAGCTCCTGCTGCTCATGCAGGGAAGAGCCAGGCTCCCTAACATAAAATTGATGTGGTTAAAATCAGAGGTCTCCACCAAAGGGAAGTGCAAGCTCGACTTTACTACCCTGCTACCATCTAGCGGTTTTTGTCAGTCCAAATTTAGATTTATTACAATAAAGAACATGCTAATAAATCGTATGGGTACACGAGAAGGAGTAAAAAAAAAAAGCCAAAGCACTACACATTTTCAGAAACAATTCTTTGCAAGCGATGGCAGTCTCTACCCACCTTCCTCCCTGAGAAGGCTGCTCTGCCATACATGATGAAATACTGTAGGGGAAAAGCATTTATTTAGTAATAAAAGTTTTGATGAAACTATACCTCATCTTTCTTCTTTTCACCTTCCTCCCTGTTCTGCCAGATCCATAATTTGCTTGTCTATACTTTAGCAAGGATACTAAAGATTTTACTAGTTAGTAGCTATGAGACAACCATTACAATGTACAGATGCATGGGATACAGCGTTCTGTAGAGTCCAGAAATCTTAGTACTGAAGTTGAAGCAAAAACTAAACTCTATCCACGTTCCACTGCAAAGGTGAAGTACCTGGGACACTGTTCCGAAAGCACTTTTTGCTGTTCTTTTAATCCTCTGAAGAGTCTGGCACTTCTCTCTTGCTTCCAGACTTTCCCAAGTTGGGGTCTTATGAAAATTCAGGTCTACTTGCTTTAATGGTACTCGCTTCCTTAGAGACATGCGGATGGTATTGAGCGAACTCAAAGCAGCCCTTCTCTTGAATTTGTCAGGTACAGGGCTCTCATTCTCATCGAAGTCAGCTAGGAGCTGGTGTTTCCGCCAGGCCATTGTTGCCTTGACATTCTGGAGCACAGATGCCATCTTGTTCCAGTTCTTAGTCAGCCTTATTTCTAAAACAATCAGAATGATAGCAAGAATTAGACAGAGGAAGGTACAGAGCAGTGGGAAAAAGGAGAAATGGAAGTTGTTACACAACATATTCTTTGCCTCAAACAACAAAATCAGAGCTGAGCAGGCTTTTACTGAGGGGCTTGAAGGAGAACAGCGTTGACTTCTACAGCTATTTAAGTCTGTGCATGTCCATGAAGTCTTATACTGCATTTCCAGGACTGGACATCAGACCTGGTAAGCTGCGAGACTCAAGCTCGTGAGGTAAAATGCTCTATAACATCAAGTTTCTTGAGACTAAGGTCTCATGTCCCAAACCTTTGCCTTCATTAATCAAAACAGCTGCCATTGTGTCCTGCCTGAGCTGCTAGCTGAAGGCTCACATTTAAGTCACAGTTACGATTGTGGATACCTAAGTCCTCAGACAGGAGTGTTATTGGCAGAAGACATTGGTGGGAAGGGCTAAAATGCCTGTTCTCAATACGATATATCACACTTTAAACATATATATATACACACACACACAATTTAAGTGCTTCATTTTTACTAACTATCAAGCTAGGATACCACTAGCAAATTCCTTCTAAAGCGCAATTGAAATGCAAATGTATTTTAGCAATCTGAATTGAGTGAATTAATTTTTCCAATACTTCATTGCAGATTACTGTTAATAAAAAAAAAAGCTGTGAGGTCTCTACCATCATTATTGTAGCACATATTAGGAAAGCCTATTGATATTCCTTACTATCTCCGATCTCTGAACTTTCTCCATCTTTCACAAGCGTTCTTACTTGTGTCAGAAGGCAATGAGGCTTACTGAAATCTTTTAATCCTGAAGGTGTTTGGGATATTGACACCCTTAACGCTTCCCTGCATGTGGCAACAAGGAAAGGCTCCTCATCAGGCAGCCAGCGGGTTCTCTTCCTAGCCCACAGCTTATCCAGCTTCCTTTTGATAAACTGCTAAGTGCCGCTAATTAATTTGTGCTAGAGAACGTTACTCGGGTGAAACGCCCAGAGGGGGGGCGCCGCCGGCCCGGGGTTACATTTATCTGTTCTCAA